ATCACGGCAACACATTGTCAACAATCGAGTTTTATATGATCGTCGCCACGATTTATATGATCGCAGTGCAGCGAATCAAATGCTCGATTAAACACTTTTTTCCTAGCTCATCGTCGGTGTACTCTTCTAGCACATGTAAGCACTTTTACAGCACTAATAAATGCATTTTACAACACTCTTTGCACGTATTCATGCTAAAAACGAGAAAATACAATCAAAATGAGATTAAACAAATTGCCTCTAGCCTGAGTTGGTCCATCAATGAGAGCTTTACTTTACAGGGTATGTGCCATTCGTACAGTTCGTATATATTACTTGTTTGTTGTGATTATAAATTATGGTCAGCTCCTCGCACAGTTTAATCGTAACATCTATATGCGAGCAAGCCAATAAAATAGATTTTATAGCCATATAGCCATAAGTTAGAGCGCATATATGACTTGTTAGCATACGGCTGCCATAAATAATGTTCCTAATGCCGGGGCATAAAGTTCAGAATATCGTTTCAAAATCACAGCTGATCGATTATGGTTAATTTCATGGTGCCCATAAAGCACTACCGGTACTTTAAATTTTCACTAGATATGTTCGAATCACAAGACTCAGTTTCAATTGTCCATAAATCGAGTCACATTTTCGATGATACCAATTTTATTTTCGGTAATCGGTAAACGTGTGCTCAATAAACACATTTCAATGAATCGTAAAAAATTGAATGAAACTATAGCTATAGTTAAGCTACATATATTATCAAAGATTATTAAAAATACTTAATTAAAAAAAATAATTATTTAAAAAAATTGAATCACCTTGGGCTCGTCCGGGATTTGAACCCGGGACCTCCCGCACCCTAAGCGGAAATCATACCCCTAGACCAACGAGCCAACTGGTTGTAAGTCAACAAGCAAAGCATAAAAGCAGCACGACAACAGATCGTAAGACATGCAGCCAAAAGAAGTGCAAGAGAGGCCCAAGTGTGGGAGCGAGTGAGCCAAAGAGCGAGGCGACGCCAACTCTACGCTACTCTTCACTCCACTGCACTCAAATCACGTTGATAGACAACAACAACAGCAATAACAGCAGCAGAGCAAAGCAAAGCAAAGCGAGTCTATTTATAACACAAAAAGTTGCCATGCCGTTTGTCTAGCGCCTGTTGTTGTTGCTGCTGCTCTTGAGTGTTGACAACAAAACAAATTGTTTAACATGGACAACACAACAATACAAAAGAAATATGATGCATGTAAATAAATTCAATTTGGAACAACACAAAATCAAAATGGAAGACAGCGCACAAGCAACAATAACAACAGCAAGCATACGACAGCAATAAAAACACGATCAACAGATCTTTCAACAGAAATTGAACAATCAAAAAAATTATTACTGTAAATCAGAGCAAGGCAAGTAGAGAACCAACCAGTTGGTCTGGTCGACTAGCAGATACGCTCTTCAGATAGCCTATGCAGAGAGGGCAAATTGTGTCTATATATAGATTAACTATTCATGAGAGAAATAAACAGTTGATTAGCTTCAATTTTAACAGTAAACAGAATGAAGAAATCATATACTTTCGATAAGGAAGATAAAAATAAAGTAACATTGCTTGCTTGCTCCGATTGTTCAATTACTATATATATATTTATAGGGGTAATCGAAAAAAATATAGTAAAATCAATTGAAAAATCGGAGCTCGTTGCTCGCCTGACAGCTGATGGCGATAATTTTAAATCAAATCAATTGAATATTGTCACAATTAATTTACTTAACAGATACGTAAGCCCGACTGTGTAGGGGCATGACGATTGCGGCCAAGTGGCATTTTATTTGTTGTTTTTTTTTTTTTTTTAATTTTTTATATTTGTTGAGCGCTGCTCATTGAATGTCAATTGGTTTAATGTATTCGATTTTATTGATTTTTAATTTCTGCTTGGGTGTTTTATAGCTGTCGCTGAGAGTTTGTCAAACGCTTGCGCAAATGCCGCGCCCACCTCAACCACGGCACGCCCCACACCCCACGGCCCACACCCCATCCCGCCCTCCATGGCTTTCCCTCGATCCGCAGCTCATGAAATTCAAATTTTGTTGGCTCCAAATCGATGCATCTGGCATACATAATACGAAATACGAAATACGAAATACGAACTACGAAACGCAGCATCGACTTCTGATTGCGATTTGACTTTTAAATTCGAGACGATCGCCTACAAATCGACCGCCGGACGAGAGTGCAGCTCTAGATAGAGTATCAGATAGAGTTCAGTTCATTGAATTATGTTTTAGCTGAAGATGAATTATCTCAGACAGTCAAAATACTCAGCAATCTTCCATCTGTAATCGATATGCGGAATATCATATAGAATTGGAAATTCATTTAAATTCATGAAAGTCCAGCGGGTCTATCGAAAGAGAAGGGCAACAGTGACCCAGCCTAGCCTCTAAAATATGTATATAGAAACTGAGGTCATTTTCCAATTAGCTACGCCCACATTGATCGTTTATAGCTAATGCCTCTAATTGCTCTGTTGAGAAGGTTTAGCTGCTAAATTTTAAATCTGTTGCTGCCATATATAACTGGTGGGCGTAGTTTTATGTAAATTTGACTTTTCATCTGGTTATGTGATGCACGAGTAAATGTTTCTAATTTAAAATATGTAGTGTTTACATTGCCCTAAGAAATATATAATATTTCTCGATTCATCTCATCCCCAGTGGGTGTTAATCAAACAATTTCCAGCTTATAGGAAAACAAAGAAATTCGAACTCTACAAAAAAATAATTACTTTATGAAGGAGCATGAAAATAAAGCTAATTTTTAAGGTTTCTTTGGATTAACATAAATTTTAATTAAACAGTTATTTATATTATATATAGAGAGCTTGAATCTGGTATATATAGTATATAGTTTATAGAGTATATACTATGTGTACCATATATACTCGCTATTTATGATATTTTTAACTTTCATATATATATATAAATAGTTGTTAATCTATATAGTATATAAATACAATAGTATACATCGCATATATGGAATATATAGTCCACATATGATTATATTATATTTATTCAATGAATTTTTAGTCAGTATAAAGCCATTTAATATAGGTTACATATAGCTTATATATTAATCACGTATCTATCGACATATTGAAAAAAATATCCATCAAAAGTAGTCGCCAGTTCGGTGGGTTCTTAAGTCGGAGTTCCTATTCGAAACACCTCTTAAGTCAACTACTTTATGCTAAGAACTAAGAACTATTTGTTTACGTTTCAATTACAATGGAGTTCGCCTGATAAGGGAACGAGCTGTCAGCAACTAGAACTAATACACAAGGCATCCGAAAGGCTATCAATCAATCATCCACAGTGTCACAAGGCAATTGAAACTAACTAATCAAACCTATTTGACTTTCAATACTATATTCTTGCTATTAAAATTATTTAAATAATCTACAGATGCCATAAAAAATGTAATATATTTATAAAATGATAACAGTTGGTTGAACGTAATACAGACTTCAATATATATGGAAATACTACAACGCGATAATACTATATTATATACCAAATACTATAATAAATGACAAATTCTATAATAAATAGAAAATTCTATAAAAATAGAAAATACTATTATATATACCCAAATACTATAATACTATAATACTATAATAAATAGTATATATAAATACTATATACTATATATACCAAAACTTTCATTTAGTCATCTGGTTAGGAGATGCAGTTGTCACTTAAGTTTACTTTAATCTTGATACAAACAAAATTTGGATCTTTAACTGTAATGCTTGAGCAATACGTGGTGGTTGCCTGATAAAGTATTGGACGTTTGCATATAGTTCTGCAAAGTAGTTAGAATAAATGCTAGAAATGTTAAGCGATATTTCACAATTAAATTTAAATTTGTTAATTATATATCGACTTATATAATATATAAATGTTCTGCTAGTTCATAATTAAAGACTCAAATCATTAGGAAATGAAAAACATTTTAAAGATTTTCTATTGTTTCTAGCTACAATTCGGAACTATATCAATGACATTATTAAGGAATAAGGCATTCAAATAGATGCCTCGCCTGGCCAAGAATTTTTGATGTCTCGCTTCTATCTATTGGGTTCCTTCACTTCCTGCTAATGAAGATGATCGATAACTGAATCAGTTTCTATAATATATATATTTATGGAAATAGTATCATTCTGTTTTGGTTATCCAACATTTTGTGGCTAATCCGACCAAGAGAAGAGAAGACAAGTAATAGAAAAAAAATTCTCTTAGAACTGAGAAAGTTCCCATAAATATATAAGTATAAAAAGAATAAGCTATATCCTGGAGCTGTGCATGATAAATTTCCTGTTGAAGAATGTTGAATTTATTACTCATGATCATTATATAGCTTCCACTATAGAATATATTCTTCATATGAGCATTCCACAGAGATGTAAAACTTTTTGCATTGTTTTCATTGTCTCGAAAAATCTCGATATATAAATATATATTTATTATAAGAATAATTGCAGCTGGATAATTCCTGAAATATCTGAGAAAATATTAAAAAATAACAATGATATTTTTGTCTGGTTTTAAGACTTTTTATTGATGGATTCGCGTACACAGTCTGTGCGAAAAGTACACGCACACATCAAGTGCGGTTCATCAGACTCGGGGGCATCAAGCCAAATGAATTATGACGGATGGAATTTTATATTTTCATATTTTTTAATATTGCTGTTTTTATTTGCAATCTGTCTTATACTGGACGTATTTTCATATGAAATATGTTTTTGTCTCGTTTTATTTTTTTGTGCATTTTGTTCATATTTATTTTCTGCGCACTTTAAATGTTGTTGTTGTTGCTGTGAATTGTTTTTAAGTGAGTAAATAATTAAAAGAGTTGATTTTTGTATTTTTGTAATATAGTTTTTTATTATATGTATATTATATGATAGATGACTTAAGAGCTTATTGAATTGTAATCGTATTATTATCCATAGTTATATGCGAATAGCTAAGACTAAGTTAGGACCTAAACAAGAACTAAAATTAAACAAAGCTTAAGTATCGCTAGGGCGTGTAAACAAAACCTGATAAACATACGATTTTCATACGATATACATATGCGATCCATATAGATCGCGCTAGAACTGGAAGTCAGAGAAAACTTTGGTTGAACTTTGAGAACAAACTTTTTATGCCTTACAAAATATAAAAATGAATTAACAAAACAAAGCAAAACAAATGTTTGATTTAACAGAATTCCTTTACTCCTCGAGAATATATGGTGTATATATAATTAAGTTGTTGCTTTTGGATTCTTTGTTGTGGTTGTTGTTGTTTTTGTTGTTGTTGTTGTTGCATCTGTGGGTTAATCCGAAACTTAAACGTAACTAGCGCCTCGACAAATCTACAGTTTAGTATCACAGAACAGCGAACGCCGCTGCCAGCGTCTTTAACTTCCTCGCCTCTCTCTCCGCTTCTCTCTTTATTTGGTATCTCCAGTTTCTTATTGATGAGCTGCGCCCATGCGCTGCCCGTACATGGCATATGGAGAGTAGTAGGGGCCCAGGGCAGCTGCAGCGGCTGCGGCGGCTGGATTGAAGGCGCCTGCAGCGCCAAAGGGCGAGGGAGCGCCGGCCATGGCGCCTGGTGGCTTTCCATAGGGATGGTAGCGGGCGGCCGCGGCGGCCGCGGACATGGGGCTGAGTGGAGGCGTTGGGTAGCCGGCGCGCAGTGCCGAGGGCGGAAAGAGTGTGCCGAGCAGCGATTGAGCCTGCGACTGGGCGAGCGCGGCGGCAGCGGCTGCCGGATCGGATAGGTTGCCCGTGTGGGTGCGCAGATGTGTGAAGAGCTCGTCGGAGGTCTGGAAGCGCTTGCCGCAGTAGGCATCGCCCACCACCCAGCTGCAGACGTAGGGCGCAGAGCGAGCAGCGGCCGCGTTGGCGGCGGCAGCAGCCGCTGCCTGGGAGTAGGGATGCGCTTGCTGGAGCCCGGCGCTGGCCATGGCCATGCCATACTTCTGGTGCTCGCATTGGGTGCAGCCGGCGGGGCAGGGAGCGCCCATCAGCATTTGCTGCGTGTGTGCGGAGTAGGGGCAGCCGGGGCAGTAGGGATCCTTGCAGACGGGCACGATGGCCTCGCCGCCGGCGGGCGTCTTGATGCGCTGGTAGGTGATGTACGGATTGGGCTGTCCGGCCGGGCCGGCTCCGGCGCCCGGATAGCCGCCATTGGCTGCGGCGGCCAACATGGCCGCATGATGATGCGAGAAGCCGCCGGCAAACGGCGGCCGGAAGGCGGGATTCGCATGCTGCTCCATGCCGGGCGGGCAGCAGAGCGCCGACAATGGATTGAGACCATATGGACCGGCTGCCTTGTAGGCTGCTGCCGCAGCAGCTGCTGCTGCGGCCATGCTGCTCATCTCCTTGGGATGCTGAGCGGTGCCGTTGGCGTTGTTCAGCACCTCCATGCCCGAGCGCACGATCGGACTGGCGCCGCGCTGCGAGCTGCCGGCGGGCGAGACGGTCTTGCGGCTGGCGTCGTGTGGCGTTGTGGCCAAAGCCTCCGGCTTGGACTGTGATCCATCTGTGGGCGTGGCATTGGACTTGTTGCGCGATGGCACGCGCTCCTGGGCGCCAGTCGAGCTCTTAGAGCTGGGCCGCGGCAACTCCTCGCTGGCGCTGCTCTTGAAGCTGTTCTGGTTCTGTTGGCTGAGCACATTCGTCTCGTACGGCTTGAAGGCGAGCTTCACCTCGCTGCCAATTGTGCTGCCGATTGTGCTGCTAATGGGCGTGCTCGACTTGGGCGACTTGGCCTGGCTGGGCGACTTGGCCGTGGCCATGTCGGCGCTGCTCGACGAGCTCGACGACGTGGAAGACGAGGAGCAGGTGCCCGACTTCTTGCTCTTGTCCACGGCCAGCAGCGGCTTCACTGCCGACGAATCGGCGCCAATCTGTGAGCAGGTCTGAGCCAGTAAGGCCAGTGGACTCTTCTTCGCATCCATCTGTAGAGAACGAAAGGAATTTAAAAATTGTTTGATTACTATTCGATTTACAACTTTCTTAATGCAAATTAATCAAATCAAGCCTGAAATATTTTGTATTTTTATTTACATTTTCATTAGATATTTTTGATCATATTTATTTACTTTTATGCTCACAAATTTCATACAAATTCTTATTTTATATGATTGCATTGGGATTTGTATAACTAAGAAACTATATTATTTAACTCTTTTTTAGCTAATAACGCTTTTTATTTTAATCTTTTGTATTAAAAATTTATTTAAAAAAATTTTTTATTTTAAAATTTATTCGAATAAAATCTATTTGAATGAGTTGAACTTATTTTGAATTAATTTTTGGTTTTATTGCAATACATTTTTTTCTATACAAAAGAATTTTTGAGGTATTTTAAAATTTGTTTTGAAACAATTCTCTTATTCATTGCAATAAACATATTTGTATGGTCATTTGAAAATCAAATTTCAAAAATGTATAAATTTATTGGTGCAAAAAATATTTGTTTATTTTTAATTTTATTTTGAAACTATTTCAAATTATATGAGAAAATTTCATAACAAACACGTTTGCTTTCTTTAATTCTACATCTCATTTTTGTAAATTCTTTACTATTTTGTTAAGTTATTAAATTCAACTTTGGTTTTTATGTTAACATTTTCTGCAAAAATTACCTTTTTTTTAAGTAAAAAACTTGCTTTATTTTCTTTTTTTTTATTTCACCTAATTCTCGCATTTATATTAAATTCCCAGCAATTTTTAAATTTGCTATTTTCACGTTTTTTTTATTAAATTTGTAAGTTTAAATTGCAATTTTTTTTTACATTATTTTTTCTCATTCAACAAACTGCGTTGCGTTCAGTAAAAAAAGAGCAAAAACTTATTTTTTTCAGGCCAATTTTTTTAATGTTTTTGAATTTACTATATTCAATTATTTAGAACTTTTTCTTTTCTAGATTTAATTTTTTCTGTTCCATTTTTGGAAGTTTTTTTTTTGTTTTGTTAATACTAACCGTTGTGGGCAATGGAGCCAGATAATCCGGTTGTAAGTACTGATTGTTGCCGATGGTAACAACACCACCGCCGCCTTCCAAGACAACCATAGCGGAGCTGTTGGCGATTGTCCTAATAGAATAATCCACAGAGGATGCTGAACAAGATGTGTCAGCAGCTGGCTGATGTGTTAAAGTAATCCAAGAGAAATGCGACGGCAAAACTTGATTTTGATATTTTCTTATTGAATTTGGTTTTTTTATTATTTTTGAATAATTCCAGGGTATATTTCACACTTTGCGTTTGAATTTCTTGTTAATTTAAGAAATTGCTTGCGTTCACTGTTTTGACAAGTGGCCAAGTGGCGTATCTTTCACTTTTGTTTTGGCTGTTCAAGCACTTTACACGACGAACGTTCTGACAGCCGTGCGTTCTGACAGATACAAATACTTATGCAGATAGACAGAGAGATACACAAATACACAAGTGTTGTTGTAGAGTTTGCTTTTTGATTTCCGTCTTGGTTTTTCTTCCGAACACGTCTGAACGCATCGAAGGCTAAACTCGAACTGAATTCTATGAAAGTGTCGTTCGGCGACTTGCGTTAGAGTGAAGCGAAAATTCGCTCAGCTGTGTGTGCTCACGTTGCGGCTCTCTTTGCTCTCTCTCTCTGCTGTGGCTGTGGTGCGCTCAGAACCGGTAAGCAGCGCTGCACACGCTTGAGCGTGTTGGTGCAAGGAGAGGCGCTCGTGGTGTGCGAGCGAGCTGCACTGTGTGTAATTTTCAAATATGGCGTACTTTTTGCCCAATCACATCGCATGCGCCATGCAATGGAAGCCGTAAAGTGGCCTAGCAGGTTTTTTTTTTACAATCAGCTGCATGGGCATTTGTGGCTCACTGCCTCAGTGGCTCTTTGCAACACGGCAACACTCGACGTGAGAGCAACAGTTGAGCGCGAGAGCGGCGCTCTTCACTTTTTTGTGTTGGCAGGCTGGCTGGCTGGCTGGCTGCCGCGGAAGTTCGCCTTTGACGCGCACATTAATTTTATCTTCACACATATGTCACGCGCCTCTGCAGCTCACACTCAATCTAGCTAGCTCTCCCGCTCGCTCTCCCACTCAGTCGGCTGTCAACACCAGGCTATTCGACGCTCAGTCTCATTGTCTTCGCTGAGATTTGTTTCTCAGTCACTCAACACTTAACCACTCTTCTTTTTATGCAATCGCCTCTGCTCGCTCGCTTTAATGTCATATAAAAATTAATTTGTTTGCCGCTCTCCATCGCTCTTCCATTCCGAGCGCTGAGCGCCGAGTACCCAGTGCCGACTGCCGAGTATGGAGTGCCGAGTATGCTTACCCACAATTCCCACTCCGACTCCGCACTCCGATTCTCACTCTGACTGTGACTCGAGCATTGTTTAGCGTTTTTCGATTAACTTCTGGGTTCTGTTTTGTGGTTTGTTTTCCACAAGAGCTTCTGTTTGTTGTTTAAGTGGAAATCGTTGTTTTGTCGCCGTGTCAAAGTTGTACCAAACAATTTTTCACATGTTTTGTTCGCTAGTAATCGTCTGTTGTACATACACACACACATGCTCACACTTTCCTGTGTATATATGCATATGTGTGTGTCTTAATTAAGCTACGCCATAAGTGCAAACAAGTTGCACTGCGCGCGAGAACGAGAGAGGCATATTCGGAAAGCGAGTGTACGGGGAGATCAGTTGCACATGTGTTTGGCGTTGCCACATGATGCACTTTGGACTTTTTAATAGTTTAATGGTTGCTTAAGTTCATGTTTTTTTAATAATACAACTCACTGAGTAGCTGTTAATGGTTTTGTTCATGCTAAGCAAGGCTTCAATTAAAATTACTTATTTTTACTACTTTTTTGACAGCGAATTCCACTTTCAACAAAGCTGAACTGAGCCACATAATCTCAGGTGGTTCCTTGTTTCTATGGAAACTTCTTGAACATCTGATTGAATTGACGTCATATACAGGTATAAATTAGTATATTATATTAATTATGGATACACAATAGATCGAATATTTCGTTATTAATTAAATAATTTTATATTTAAAGAAAATATTTAAATAATTTGAATAAGTTTGGTTGAAAATTGAGTTTTTCCAGAAGCAATGCAGTTTTTTTTTCAAAAATATTGTTAATAATAATTCTATGTGACTATCCATGTCATGTTTATATCTAGATAGTATAGATCTTGCTACAAATATATTTATATCGCATTAAAGTATCTTTAATCTGACATATATAAGTAAATTATATATAAACTATGTTAAATTCTATTTAATAAAAACATTTATATATTTTCAATATCTTTTTAAAATTAAATGTTTCATATATCAAACTTTGTATTCTATTGTTGTTATTCTTATTTGAACTTCTTTTACTAAATTTAGTTTCTTTTAACATTTTTCTTATTTTATGTGTTTCTTAATTTTTATATAAATATATTTTATGTCCATTTCTCAAATGAAAAATTTTAGTATTTATTGAAAATCCCAAAAATAGTTCCTTCGTAATATTCATATTACCTGTGGATGGGATTTGAGTGGACATCTGTAAGATCTGTAAGATTATGTAATCTTCGATTGCCGCGAAAAGAATACAGCTTAAGCAACTAGAGATTTGCGCAAATAAGCTAAAGATAAAGATAAAGATTTTGTCCGATAAACCGATTACAGGTATTTACGCAATAGCACAATAGCTGGCTCAGCAGCTCTACTTGAGCCAAGGCCAAGGCCTTTCGCAGAAAATGATGGATTTATTAGGTAAATGCGTGTTGGCTCACAAAGGCGGCTTAGATGTAATTTGCGGCTTTCTGGCCAAGAACAAGAAGTTGCCAGTTGCCAGTTGCCAGTTGCCAGTTGCCAGTTTCAGCCAGGGCTCATTTGCGTTAAATGCCAAAATAAATATGCATAGTACACAAGTGAATGAGTGAGTGAGTGAGTATGTGGATGGGGTATGGATAGGGAGAGGGAGAGGGGAGGGCGAGTGCGTTGCACGTAAGTAATTCATATTTTTACGGCTACTTTGTCAGCGTCATAAATTTTCCGGGGCATGTGAATTATTTACTAGCAATGCGAACGCAAATGGCAAACGAGATGCTTCTACTACTACTACTGCCCCAAGGCGTGGCCGAGACGGGGCCGAGGCGGGTGCTGGGGCTGCCATATAAATAACACAAAATATTATAAATTACACGCAGGGATGTAAAAACGCTGAGCAGAAGCGAAAAAATTTGTAGCCGCGAAAACATTTATGTGTATAAGTATCTGTGTGTGTGTGTGTGGAGAATATAAAAAGGAGGCAGAGCACATAAAATTAACCACATATTTCTTCATTTTTATGGCATTTATTATCACAGAAATGTTTGTGTGATAAAAGCGAAGCACAGCGCAAAAGGCGAACGATGAACGATGGCTGCGACGCCGACGCCGACGATGGCGCAAAAGGCAGCCATAAAAATGCAGCCATTTACCTTTTGATTTATGCACAGCAACAACACGGTTGAGAGCGGGCGGCGGGCGGCAGGAGGCGGGGGCGTGGCACGCATATTGCCATCATGAAAATAAAAAATAACTGCAAAACAAGCTGCGCAAAAATAATGCAATAAATTTGACATTATCTGCATTAATATAAAGGTACTACGACCCCATCGAGGTCAGCAGAGAACTCTGCCAAGATACCATAAGACCCGAATCAGTCTATTCATAGCTCTAACACAACTGATTCGTAGCACAGCAAAACTCCGGCCGCCTTTTGATGAGGAAACATTTAGAAGAACTGAAAAACAAACTGCAATAAATTGAGAGCACATATGCGATTCAACTACACACACATATATAAATATATATATATATATATATACTAACAATAACTCACATAAAAAAGGATATACAACATCCTGCATGCCCTCTGGGTGGCTACGTCGCAGCCAGAGCGAAGGGCAGCAAAGGTAGAGCTACCGAAAGACCAACTGTCGATAATTTATTGACAACAATTTATCTCGTAATAGTAACGAGCAGGAAAAACACACACACACACACACACACGCATAGAAGAGAAATAGCCCCTGGCTTTGGTGACATTGAAATTTAACAACAAAAGAATCTTCGGAATATTTTTTTTGCACAACTTCAGACGCCCATTCCCATTTCTATTTCGATATAACCCCACGTCGAACCCCTAGAAATATCCAATCAGGGTAGATTAATAAACCAAATTAATGGCTGCATTGTCGCAAAAAGAAGAACAAAAAAAAAAAACAAAAGCGGAATTTGGGTTAAAAAATGTGTGACACGTGCAGAGAGAGCGAAAGACAAATTGACTAAATAAATTTTATAGCCTTTGCTATTGGGTATTAATTGATTGGAAAAAAAAGGTAAAAGGGAGTGGCAGAGGGAACGGAGTCATAGCTGAATACCTGGAAAATCAAAGAAGGGAAAATTAATGAAAAATCTCTTTTCTGCAAACCTTAAGTAGAATCGATCTTTAATATGATAATAATGTATATGTAAATAATATAAATTATACGAGATATAGAAGAATATATAATATAATAATATAATATATAATATATAATATATAATATATAATATATAATATATAATATATAATATATAATATATAATATATAATATATAATATATAATATATAATATATAATATATAATATATAATATATAATATATAATATATAATATATAATATATAATATATAAAATATAATATATAATATTTAATATATAATATATCATTTATAATATACAATATGCTGAAGTCTTTAGATATATGGTATGGGCCAATTCTTTTAAGCGATGCACTGAAATGAATTACTAAACTGATTCAAGGAGTCAGTGATTCAGTGAGCATAGTTTATTACTCGAAAGTGAACAATTTAACTGGTTCAGCAAAATGAACCAGATCTGCCAGCTCTAGCAATTAAATGCTCATATACTTTATAACTTAAACTCTTTTATATCTTTTATTAAGTAATTCATTCGAAAAGAAATTCATGAGTTAAACTTTCAGTACTTCAAAATCAAGCCAACATAAATTTTTTAATTTACAATATTATTTGATATTTAATCTAAAATATTTAGTAGATGCAAATTATAAATAAGAGAATATCATTTTAAACCATATCAAATATATTATAGATGATACATTATAATGGGATTAAATATGATCGCACAGCCGATCTCTATTTATACATTTAATCAGGCTGATTTAATGGAAATAGAAGTAATTTCTTATAGAAATAGTTTCTAAATGATCCTAAGAGCATTCAATCAATGTCTTATAAGACTGAACCACAAGAAGATTCAAGTAAAGATGAGTTATCTAGGCTAAAGAAAGTACTTATATATTCAAGTAAATATCAAGTATTAATTGAAACACAAGTTTATCTTGATCAACTTGGCATATATAAGGCATTTCACTATAAATCAGAGCACTCAGAGTGGTATTTACTGCGCTTTCTTCTACTGGAGAAGAGGAAATCTAGTATGGGAAA